AGCCTTTGTCGACGACCTCCTCCCGACATGGACGAGCTCCGAGCTCGTGCTGTTGGGTACATCCAGATGGAGGGGCATACCGAGTTTTGCAAGGTAATTCGCGACAAATCACAAGAAAAGCAAGACCAAGGTCAGGCCACGAACATTTAAAGTTGGCGACCTTGTTTGGCGATTACGGGGAGAAGCAAGAACAGACCCCTCCAAAGGAAAATTTGGAACTTGGAATTCCACCCACCTCAAATTTTATTTCTCTTAACTTGTAAATTCAGGTGATGTACTCTTTTTCCTCCTCAGCCTTTTTTCCCATTAAAGAAAATGGTTTTTGGCCAAGGAAGGTCGAGTTCGAACCTTGAGATCACATTTTCTTAACCAAGGTCGAGTTCGAACCTTGATATGCCAAGGTCGAGTCCGAACCTTGAGATCACATTTTCTTAACCAAGGTCGAGTTCGAACCTTGATATGCCAAGGTCGAGTCCGAACCTTGAGATCACATCTACTTAACAAGGTCGAATTTGAACCTTCAAACAACAAATTTGGGAACTCCTCAGAAGCCCCTTTGCTCTTACATCACTCGGTGCTTGGGGGGCAAGTGTACTGGCCAGCCGAGTTGCCGACTTGTCCCTCACCAATCTGCTGACTCGATCAAAGGTTTACCAGCCTAACCAAGCAGTAAGCTCATTATTGCCGAGCTCCTCAGCCCGACCATGAAACATGGACATCGGAACACCACATTGGCCCAAAGAGGCCACGTCATCAAACAAATAAAAATACAATCTTGTCACCGCGCCGCCCACGCGTTATAGGAACGAGGTGACGGTTATGACACATGGCGTCATGACAAATAGGCGTACGCGAAAAGTCACGACCCCTTGTCGAGCTCGGTCTTAACTCCTCGACCTACGATCTTCGGAACTCGGGGGGCTAGTGTATCTTACCGAGCTCGAGCTCGGTATCACAGCGCAGGATGACCTTGGACATGTGCTGGGAGATCCCAGTCTAGACAAGATCCGCTATCTAATCAGATCATAACTGATCTCAGGCCCAAGGCCCAAAGAAACCTTAATTCATACCAAGGTACGTGCATTACTTATACGAGACTCATACTCATACAAACCCTAACTTTAGCATCGGAGTCTCTTTTGCAGGTACTACCCCCATCTCGGAGCAACAAGTGTACCAGTGAAAGAGGCTCACCGATCTTACCCAGCAGATCATCCCCTACGACTGATCTCCGGTAAGAACAAATAGTATAGTTATAACTATTTATAAAAATAAAGATTAAAACTAAATGAGTGAGATTCATTGCCACTAGGTCGTAAGTATACCAAAATTATATATTTAACAACTTTTATATAATATAAATTTAAATGATTCAACCATTGAATTATATGATATTATATTCAATATCATATATATTAAATTTCACATATTTCAAAATTTTGTAGCAGTTCATCACATTATTTTTTTCTAATGTATAATATGATATTTAAAATAAATAGTATAAATATCCATTTTTTATGATATATCTAGAAAAGTTCAAATTGTGTAAAAATTGGTAAATATGATCTTAAATATATTACCACATAATTTGACGATTAGATCGATTAAATCTATATCATACAAAAGTTATTAAAAGTATAATATTTGGTGTAAGTTTTTAAACTTAGATGTAATATCCGTGGATCTAATTCTAAATAAATATTTAATTAAGGTTTATAATTGTATTTTACTCTTTAAAATTCATTTTTCTTACATTAAGGGTCAAAATATTACTACTATATTATATTTGATTTTGGACCTTCTTAAGTCATCTTCATCCTTACAATCTTATTTTTTAGGAGCTCTTAAATGGTTTCACATTACTCATCATTTATATATGCTTTTATAATTTAAACAACTCATTTCTCAAAACTCAACAATTCTAAAATCTTCACTTAACAGGTCTCACAAACAACCTCACTTCTTTACATTTCCTTAAGATTCACTTTTTTTTTAACTATGTAAATCTATTTTATTTCTATTTTCTGCCTTTGTTATGTCATTAACATCTTATATCTACTTTGTAGTTAATAAGAACATGCTTCAATCATTGGATCTTAAAAAGCTTTGTTGCTTAATCGGAAGCCCAAACTTCAACACTCCGAATGGAAATACTCTTATAATACTTAGTAATATGGTACGATCATGTTGGAAAGAGAAATGTCATTTTTAACTTTTTATGGCAAACTGAAGCTCAATTAAGAATCTGTCTCATATATGTGATGAAAGTTGTAATCTATTTTCCCAAAAAAAAAAAAAAATTTAGCTCAAAAAATTCGACACTTACGATTTTTTTTAAATAAAAAATTGCTCTCCTGTTATAATTACAACTCAATAACGGTTTGATAATGTTGAAAAGTAGAACACAAGATACAAATTTCGTATTCATACTCTGCCAGAGATACTAATAGCAGATACCATACTTTTTCGAGATTACTATCTATAGAAGTGCCTAATATAAAACAACATAAAATTTTGCTAACTTGAAGCAGATTTTACATCAACAGTAATTCCACTTTTATTTGGTAGGAGCTTCTTCATATAATACTTAGAATTGCGGGAAAGATTGATCATTCTCCTTTTCTTTTCAGGAATATAATCAATTGAACATTCTGAAAACCCACGTCTCACAAACCTGCCAATTTTGGAAGCCTTATCTTTAGAAATGCAGCCATAAAATAATCGAACACTAAAGGTAATATAAAACTTGCACATAGGTATTCAGTAATATGTATAATAAAGAATTTCATTAAATATCACCGTGTATTATCAAAATAAACCTTTAATTTTGACTGAAGAATAGCACAAACATTACCCATGGTATTGTATCTATCTATTTTTTGTCCTAAAAGTAGGCCATAATTTGTATTCATCACAATTCACAACTAATTATTTCAGGAATTCCATGTATATTAACGTATCAACTTGGTAATTCCACTGCACATGGATGTACATTTTTTGTCAACGAAAAGAGGTTTTCAGAAATTGAAGAAACATGCAAAAAAAATGCATGCTAAACATCAAATTACCAAAATGGGGTAACAAACCATAAGCTATGTCCAAGAATAAGTGAGTACGCGGTACAAAGCCACTAGAAGTGTAACAATAACATTCACTGTGGTCAAGGCTTACATGACATGCATTAGGGAAGTTACTTACCAATCTGCTGTACGTGTTGTAAGCAGGAAAAGCATATTCAATCCAAGAGATGATGCTTTCTTCTCCAAATAATCTGCATATATTTTATCATATATTTAAATAAATATTATGAAAACATGTGGAAAAAATAAATATTACAGAGCAATAGCATCCTATGATCAAAATCATACAGCTGCTCAATAACATCAAAAGCTGAAGCCTACACTACATCATCTTGAAACAAACAGGTTTAAACTTTCTAACACTTTAAATTAACGTTTTTCATTTTAAGAGTTTGTTAGATGTAGTTATAGTACATTTATTTTGGTGTTTTTAGGCCAAACTGTAAATATAAAATAGTAATGATTAAAGTCTTGATCATAATTTAGGCATACACAATACGGACTTTATATTTCTACTAATAAGGTTTCAAGTAGTTTTAACATCACTGTTAATATAAAGTAATAATGATTAAAGTCCTGATCATAATTTAGGCATACACAATACGGACTTTATATTTCTACTGACTCAAGGTTTCATGTGGTTTTAATATCGCACTAATCAGCATAAACAACGAAAAAATATCCATGACATTCCAATACATTACATAAATTATTAGTCACTACCAATTAAGCACAAGAATCAGCAACCACAGAAGCAATAGCATACCAAGCAATTTGTCACCCTGCCCTTGGCCACGACAATCAGGAGATACTGCAATGCAAGCAACTTCTCCGCGTTTCTCCTCCAAGTGGGGGAAAAGGGCAGCACAAGCAATTATTTGACCTTCTCTTTCCACAACGACAAATGAATCCAATGTTTGTAACAGCTATAAACAGAGAATGGTTAAAATATGAGATATCTTGATAATTACCACGGTCATGTAAGCCACAGTATCTATAACACATGAAAAGATATAGCTAAGCAAACCTCTTCATCAGTCCGCTTAACCAATATTCCAGATGCCTCCAAAGGCTGAATAAGTTGTTTTATTCCAGAAATATCTTTCACCTCTGCTGTCCGAGTACCTTCGTAAAGGTCACTGCAAAAATTTCATTGGAAGATAAAAAAATGAAATAGTTTTCAAGAGATAAGACTTCCTAAGGAAAGGAAGGGAAATAAAATTTTATTGAATATAATACCATAACCATATGTTGCAGATAGTATATTGCTAGGTGAGTAGGAAAACCATGAATAATATAGAATTTGGTGTTAATTGATTTTTTTAGTGGTACAATATGTCTACTTAGAAATATGACAAGTTGCACTTATTTACAACATGTGAGTGCTCTTTAACACTATCAAAGACAGTTATTTCAACCAACCCTTCAATCATTTTGTAACCAAGGGTTCCATAAAAGGGGAAAAAGGAGAATGCTCAGAGATGGAGTTCAGATCCAACCACATATTTCAAGCCTTGTGCAATCAAAATCTCAACAAGCAGCCATCTAATCATCAGCTACACATATACAAATAAATCTGAATCTCAGTATCTCACATATCACATATGTGACCTTGTACAGTGACACCAGCAGGAAATCCACTGGAATGCCAGCTAAACAATGGTTAAAATAGTTGGACAGTGTCATAACACAGACCTAACCTCCTATTTCTCTTGCCAAATACTAACAGTTACCAACCTTGCACAAAATAATTCACAATCATAAAAACTTAATCCAGAGGATGTCTACAAATGTTGCTTACCTAGCCACCATTGTTCCCATCCCATCTCTTTTAAACAATTCCAACAACAAAACTCCACTAATAGTTCCATCCAACAAGTGAACTCTTTGAACACCACCCTGACAAATGGAAGTTATCAGTTAGTATTATTAGCAAATTCTTAAGAAACATGCATCAACTGAAATTTTCAAGCATATTCACTATTTCAAGTTTTCAACCAGCAGCTTCTCAAAGAATTCTGCATGTCACTCTAGACAAACCAATGTATAGTAGCATATTTGAAGAGAGACAAAGCTCTAAGATCTTTTTCCCTATACATTATAGCAGTGGAAACAAATGTGTAACATATGTATACTCCTGGTCTGGTCATGATTTGAAACATCTTTTGTTCTCACAATTGCTCATATACCAATATAGACTTAAAATAAGCACAACTAGTGTACTTGTCATGAAAGATAAAGGTGAATCATGGACTCACTCTGCAAACGAAAGCTGCAGCAGCCAATTCTGAAAGGTAGCCATTCATTCGACTGAGCCGCTCTTGACCTCCAATAGCAAAACCCTGCTCACCAGACCCTAAGCCATTTCCATTATCGAAACCAATGCCATTATTGAAGGTTGCATTATGCCATTCTGTAAAACGTCCAATAGGTGGAGATTTGACTGTCCCATTAAAACTTCCATTCTCAAGAGAGTTGAAACCTTCTTCATCAACAGCTTTCACATAGTTAGCAGCTGCTTCACTTTGCTCAGCCCGTTTACGAATTAACATGTCTGCTTCTTGAAGAGGCAAGAAACGAATTAGGCGTCCACTCTCATCAAGTATTGGACCATCTATAACGCATATAAGTTTGTCTGCTCCTATAGCCAAGGCACAAGCTGTTGCAACTTCATAGGTACTGGAGAAAAAAAATCATCAATATCGGGAGAAATGGAACCATATTCATTATTCAAATCATGCAACTCTATGCGAGCAAGGGAAGCATGTAATATACACATGGTTTATGCAGTCCATTTCTTATCTATTTTAATATTTTTTTTTCTATTGAAATATTAGATACAGAGTAACATAAAATAGGGGAGGGGGGAGGGGGGAAGGGAAGAACCCGTTGGTACCACTGGTGAAATTCTGATTCACATGCTCTCTGAAAATCTGTAATATTAATTTCTCAGTATTTGCTCCTCCACATTTCACATGATAAAACTTTCTACGAAACTCTTCTTATTCTTTCACTAAGCAACCAAATTACTTTTGTCTATTGTGCTTTTACTTCTATCATGAGGCTGTTTTACAATATATTCACAAGTCTAATTCTTAAAATTGACCTAGAAATATTACATATTTTCAGGTGGAACTCTGATACCTAATATAAGATTGAACAATTAGAAACTACAACAATATTAAGACAACAGCATGTATGTGAGCATTCAATCAGTTATACTAAAGTTGTAGAGAGCAATCATCAGAAAAAAGCTACAAAGCATACTTGCAATTTAATACTTCTCCAGAGCTGGAGTAGCCCAAGTTGGTTAAAATAACTACACAACCACCATCAAGTCTCTCACGCATGCGAGATACGTCTACTTTTTTAACTTCCCCAGTTGACCCAAAATCAATTCCATTGACCACCCCTCTTCTCTGCCAAAACATAAAAATTACAAGATGCTCTAACAGTGATAAAAACAGAAAGGGACAATTTCACAAGACCATTGTTACTGTAGAGCAATGAATAAAATCACAAAACTCAAACCTTGGCTGCAAGAAAGTTACCACTGGCAACACTGACACCAACGTCATGCCAACGACTATTGTCACCATGTCGACGAATATTGCATATGGAAGGTCCAGGAGAAAGTTTTGCTTCTATCATCAATCTTATTCCTCCGGCTGCTTCCATTGCAGCTTCTAGAGATTCATCATCAGTTATCCTATATCTACCAACATACTTAGGCTTGCACCCTACAAACACAATAACAAGGTCAATCACTGTGGCACGGTCCTCTAGCAAACAATTTTCCTTTTTTGCAAGGTAAAAAATAAATTGACACTCATTTTCACTGGTGGAAGAAAATTAAGCAGCAAATTATTTGGGCCAACCTCTCTCTTTCAAAAGCTTGTCTATTTGCACATGTGTACCCGGAACAATAACAAAGCGGATTCCTAGGTGATGAAGGAAAGCTATATCCTGCATGCAGAAATAGGAAAATGTTTTAGTTCGTGTTGGATCATCCATAATCATGTTTGTTTCCATGTTAAGGAATTGATTCTGGCTCCATAATTGATTTTGAGTTGAAGCAACTTTAAATAGCTTTTGCTTTGAATAAAAAAAATGATATCAAGTTTTACTACTAACTTGCTTTTAAAATAAAAACATCTAACTATAAATCAAATCACTTCAAAATCAATTTTGCAAACACTTAACCAAACACATACTTCATGCATAGCCCATAGCTATTTAATGTAGCAACGATAATGGTAATAGTAAAAAAATTATGGTTTTCTAAACTGGCGAAGTTAAGATTTGAAGGACATGCCTTGAGAACGGGATCCAAGAAAGAACTAGAGACAATTTCACCGGAAATAATGAGAACAAAAGTGCTGCCACGATAGGCCCATAAGTAAGGCCAGGCCTCGCGGAACGAACGCACGAATTGTTTGTCCTCCATGGACCCATGGTAGCTATCTTCATTTACACTCCCACTCACTCCTTCGCTCAACGAACTAAGCTTCCTCGACCTTCCCTTCTTTCGGTTACACAAATGGGCCGCCACGGGCCGCGCTTCTGGGCCCCAGAGAGACTTAAATTGTGGGTGGAAAAGGAAATGGTGAGAGGAAGAGTATAGTTGGGTGAAAGCAGAGAAGGTGGGAGTGTTTGGAAGGGATAAGCACGAGGTAAGTGCCATGGAAGAATCACACAGTGCGGGGTAGGTGGCGGTGGCGGTGGCGGAGACACACAAAAACTTTAGCCGCCACGCTAACAGATTATTTGCCTACATCATGAATCATGCCCCATATAGGGAAAAATTTTGTTGATATTACAGGAAACTGTATACAAATTTGTAAAAGAGAGAAAAATTTTGAATTATGATAAATAACGTGAAAAAGAAAATTAAATATAAAAATAATATTATATAAATTATTGTATGTATATAATATATCTTTAGTTTTTTTATTCTATGTTTTACGACTTTGAATTTGAACCGATGGTAGTGGCATTTGGTCGATGGATAGATTATATATTTACTCTTTTTTTTTTAATATTATATTTTTAAATTAATTATTATATTCAACACGAACTTTTATCGAAAATATTTTTAAGAATTCTTTTCATAAATGTGTTAATAATTTTTTAAAATTTATTATTTAATTCAATTTTTATTTATCATATTTATTAATTCTTATATTTTAAAGATAAATTTTTTTTATACAAAAGCATTTTTCAAATTTTTTTTTCAATAATATAATTTGTAGGAATTCTTTCAACTTTTTATTTATCATAATTATTTATAAATTAAATATTAATATTTTAGAATAAGTTATTAATAAATAAAAAAATTTATTTCACTACAAATTATTTATTTATCAAAAAAACTTATTTATTATAAATTTAAAATATAATTTATATATTCAAACATAATATTTATTATATATAATTTATTATAATTTTAATGATATATAATAAACATGATTGGATGCAGGAACTAAAATACTAGTATAAATATAAATATGAACACGTAAGAATAAAATCACAAGTATATGTTTTTACAAAATATATTCTTAATTGATAGTGACATATTAACTTTTGAAAAGTGTAGATTATGGAAATAAATTTTGCCCTGTCAGCACTTTTTTTTTTTCTATGCGTGACTAACATTTAGAAAATTCAATTATTTAAGGTGTGTTTTTTTTTTTAAAAAAAAAAAGTTAAGTTCAATGTAATTCACAATGTTTTTTTTTCAATTTATCAATGTTGTTACTTTTTCTTTTGCAGTTTTGGAATGTGAGAACGAAAATTTAGAACCTTACAAATGACAAATCAAACAATCACTTAAATACTATAGAAGATCTTATTGATATTAGTGAATATGTAAAACATCTAATAAACTCTACCTATTCTCATTTTGATTTTTTTTTTCTGAATTTTTTTAATAAATGTTCCAACTTCCAAAAACACATATTAAGGAGCAAAATAATTTCATTTTAATTTTTAAATTAATACTCTTAAATTAAAACTCTTGTTAACAAAACTTTTACTTTTCTAAAAAAGAATACATAATATGACAATGATGGATCAAATTATCCTGCAGTTCATTTTTGAACTGCACGAATTTTAGCCATTAGTTGAAATTTTTAATTAATTAAATATTGAAGGAGAATCTATGGTGAAAAATGGAACTGCATCCCGTGCAGTTATTTTCCCAACTGTAGGGATCCAAATCCGACAATCATGTTCCCTGCATCCCATTTAAATTGTCTTCCTTTAGTTCTATATTATGTAAAAGAGCCATGAGATAATACTTTTGTTTTAAAAAATGCCTTAGTATATTTCCTTCAAGTAAATATAAAGTATAAAAGAAGAAAGATATAAGATATAGAGTATAAATACTTAAGAATGATTTTATTAATATCTAAAGTTAATAGTTAAAGATATAAGAGGAAAGTTTGATTAAAAAATTATAAAAGGAAAAAAACTTTCAGAAATATCTATTACATTAAAAATATAAAAAGAATTATTTAATATATACTACTTACAAAGTTACAGTCAAATATTAATTTGATAAGCAAATATTAAATTTAATTAATCATTTGATCAATGTATCCGTCAACCTTCCGTTTTTTTTCTAATACCTAAAAGTTTCACGATTTAGTTCATATAACATGAATCAAATCACACGTATATCAACTATTATACAATTTAATAATTTTATGTTAAATAAAAATATTAATGAATTCCAAGCGTGTAATTCATCAGTAGGGATTGATCCACACTTAAGTAAGATCAAGAGTTCGAATCCTACCTTGTGTATACAGTCGCGTTAAATCTTGGGGCTAACTATCACACTCATTGAAGTGTGGATACTAATTATTAAATTATAATTTCATATCATAGTAAATTTTATTAAAATTATATAAACAATAATTTGAAGATAATCAAATTATTTATATTTTAATATATTTTAAATTTTATATTTACTTCTATTTTGATTTATATAATAAATATATCAAATCATCTTAAATTAATATAATATTTTGTATATATAATTTAAGAGTACAGAAGTTTCAATGTAACAATTATTTTTAAAAATTTATATTTAATAAACGATATAATAGTTAATAAAAATTATATCAGTGGCATTTGATTTCTCTTTACTTTTTCTAACAACGTAAAACTATCACAAAATAGAGACATGAGAGACTAAAATATTAAAAAAAAAATAGTTATTATAGACACGAAAACATAAAACTTTTACATATAGAAACTAGGAAAAAAAAAACTCGGGTTAGATATAGTCATATAGAAACCAAATAAATAATAAAACCAAAATATTAGTATTGTTATTGAATTTGTTTTAAAATAATTGTTACAGGAAATTTTATGTAAAAAATTAAAGATCGGAAAATAGTAAAATATAATGTGAAGATCAGTATCGGTGATAATGTATGTAGTTATATGCTGAAAATATGTTTTGCTGTGCATCAGAGGCGGTGAAAAATCCTTTCTACTCATTTATGTTATCCTGTCCTACTTATATAAATTCGACGTTGATCAATCATTCTAATTAAATTCTGCATATGCATACTTTGATGGGAGAGAAGGAAGATAAGGAATATAGGAAAATTTCATTGTATGATATTTTTTCGCGTATGAACATAATCCACGGTATTCCAATCTGAGAATTAATTTACGTTCAAAACTGACAAATAATTTATGTTCATGTGATTTCTATGGGTAAAACGTTTTTTTTTTACATTAATAATAATTGATCCTAAAAATGTTAAACAAGGGCAATTTATCCTGGTCAAACATTTTATTAATATTAACAATAATTGATTTTGGAAACACTAAATGGACTTTTTGTGTTTCAAGCAATGGTGAATGGTGGAAAAAAAAATTAAATTATTATATAAGTTTTTAAAGTAATATCTTCATCAGATAAGAAATCTTTATAATTATAGGTTGAAGAAATAAATTAATTTTGATTCGATTAATAAAATATCTTTTAAATATTAAACATAAATCTTTAGTTTAAAAATTAACAAATAAAAAATAAATTTTGTATTCGAAATTTTCTATTAGTTTGGTTACTTTATGTTTTTTTTTTAATAATTTTATTCTACAATGCATGTCAGTGATACGTCATTTCTGACAATGATAATAGAGAGAAAGAAAGAGAACAAGGTCACTGGCGATCATGTAATTTTATGGTTTAGATTTTGTGACGTTCATATCCAACCTTTGGGTATTCATTTACCTTTTTATTCATTCTATTTACCTTGCTCAATTTTTTATTTACTACAATAGTCTATGTCAAGTCCTGGCAAAGACACGTCTTGAACATGTGAAGCCAAGAGTGACACGTGGCTCCCACCTCTCTCAAAAAGTTATCGTGCCCCTCCGGTAATAAAGCCAAGGCTACCTTCTTTCATATATTAAACTACTTTTTAATCTATCATCACTTCCGCGTGTTCACTTAAATATATGCAACCAACAAATTCACGCCAAATTTAACTGATTAGACTCGTTGAAATTCAATAGTGCTCTCATTTAATTACGTAAATAGGAATCTGTAATAGTTTCAAGGACTAAACTATCGGAAAAAAAAAACTTGAACGCGAAAATAGTTTCTTATGCGCTTTCGTTCCAATTTTTCGATTAAAACCTTGGTGATTGATGCAATTGTTTAACGCAAACATTTTAAATTCTAATTAGATATATAGCAAGCAACATAAACAATAGGAATTGAATCCGAAAAATAGACCTAAAAGTTTGTTAGAGAGAGAAGCGGTACCTTGAGAATGGGATCCAAGTAAGGACTAGCAACAATTTCTGCAGAAATGAGGAGAACGAATACGCTTCCTCTATGCACCGAAAAGTAAGGTTGAGATTCCTTCAGAACATTCACGAACTGTTGCTCTTCTTCCGTGACGGCGAAGTCGCCATCGCCGCCGCGAGCTCTCACCGAAAACGCGGACGTTTTGGCGTTCTCTGAGCTGAATCTGGAATTGCGACAAGGACGGAGCGTGGCTATGGAGAGTCTTGAAAGAGCATGGATGAAGTGGTGAGGAGTGGGGCCATGAGAAAGCCAAGTTTGTCCCTGGCTTCGGATACACATACACATCGCTGGCTTTGAAGCACTAGTAGCCATGTGAGTCAGTGAGAAGGAGAGAGAGATTTTCCATTTTGGTAGTGAAAGGAAATATTTAGAGAGTAAATAAAAACCACAAAAGGTCAATTACGCGGCGAGACGATGGCGTACGATGTGGACCCATACAATAATAGATATTTATCAATAATGGATATTTGTTTTATTTTATTAAACTTTATGGTAACTAAATAATTTTTAATTCTGATTCTTACATATAAAAAAAAATTTAAATTGAGAGAAAATAATCATTTATTTAGTGTGTGATACTTTTGAAAGGATACTAATTTTGTTGTTTGATGGGAGATACTGGTAATAAAAAATAAAAAAAAGAAGTATGATTTAAAAATTTTATTAATAATAATAATATACTATCAATTATTAACCTTTACAACGAGGTCAAGCACTGTTAGTTACCTGAGTTGTTCACTTGTTCTCGTTCTTACTCATTTCTATAATAACCATTACTTTCAGATATTGAATTAGGTAATATTATTTTATCTTATTTTAAGTTTTTTTTAACAAATGAAATATGTAGAATTTTAAAAATAAATTAAAAAAAGTATTTTTATTTTAAATTAAAAACAAATCTTTACAAAACTGAAAAGTTAAAACAATTTTTATTTTTCTTCATTTTAAATTATAAAAATACACTTTTAAGAAATTTAACTAATTTACTTCTAAATTTTAAAAAAATGATAAAAATTAGTAAACAAACTTATAAATTTAGCGCATTTATTTTAATATAATTTTTAAAATTTTAAAAACCAAGCCAATCATTACTCAAAATTTTAAAAAATAGAAATAAATTATTTAGCATTTAATTTTAATATTAATAAAATATATTAAAATTTCCCTTACTATTTTATGCAGATCTCTCCATTTTTTCCTTTTTATTTCTTTTTCTATTATTATTATTACTAGAGAGATTGAGGTATTTCATGCTTCTAATAATTATACATAAATAAATATTAGAAGTTATAGAAGATATAATTTTTTTTTTAAATTCAAAGATATAAAAATCTACTAAAAAATGAAGATAAAAAAAATGATTACTAAAATATATCTCTTTTATAATAAGTATAGATATAATAATTTTGGATAAATAATAAAAGGGAAATAATAAACATATAATGAAGAGTATAATTTATTTTTTTCAAAATAATAATAAAGGAAAAAACGGAGAGAAAAAGAAATAGAGAAGGGAATTTCGTATTTTATGCTTGCGTCATTGCGTATTTGTTTTGGGGAACGGAGAACAGTAACGTTTAAAAATCTCCCGCGTGTGCATTACGTGTTAGGGACCATCGATCATTCAATTATCCTTTAACAATATTCCTTATTTAAACAAATTGAAGCATCCATGATATGACTGGGATGAAAGTTACGGGTTACAAGATGCACCGCTAAAACCAATATTCAGAAATACTTTTTTTTTTCCCCATTTTAGGTATATATCTCTACCTCTAAATGTTTACATTTTGATTTTCACTGTTCGTCAAAGTTTTAATAATTTTAGATTTAGTTCATATATTTGAAATTATTTATTTCACTTCATTTATTTTCAACATAAAAAAATGTCTATTTCGGTTCTTACTTCTTACACGGCATGTCAGTCTTCAAATGAAAAACTTATATCATTTAAGTTTTATAAAAAATAAAAGTTGTTTTGTAAACAATTTTTCCTTTACAAGTTAATATATATATATATATA